GGGGGCAATATGCTGACTCTCTGTAAACCGCTTAGAGAGGGCTGAAAGCCCTATGAAGCGGTATATAAGTCTACTGCTATTGCTATTGCTATTCTGCACATGCGCAGAAGCGTCCGGGCAGGTAGACGGAGCCTCCCGCCACTGCCACTACTGGTTTGGCAACCCACCTCTGGAGCCTACTGCTATTATCATGTCACCATCAGGTTGCTTCCCTGCTGTTTGTTTACCTTCTCTTATTAATCTAACTATTTGGATTTCTCTCTCTACTATTCTCAAAATAGCCTCCTTGCCCAGCCCTCATACTGCAACTGCAGTGATATCTGAGCTCGGGATAAAAATGTGACAAATAATTATATAATAATGTCTATCAACAATTTACATGCCTCACATTATTTTAGAGGCTTTATTTCTGTGAAGATGCTGTCCAGATGTTTAGGGTGGTAAAAAAAAATGCTGGTAGGAAGAGGAAAAAAGCAACCATCAATTGCAGATGATGTGGAATGCAGTACTGCCATCTTGATATTTTTTTAACCATCCCCTGCAGACACCCCTGGGATAGTGGATATGCTGTAGATGTATGCAATGCCTGCTTTTTCTCTCATGACCTCAAAAAACCTCATAAAACTGAGGATGAACCAGGGGTGAAATCCAGCAGGTTCTGGAGAATTGGTAGCAGAAATTTTGAGTAGTTTGGAGAATTAGCAAATGCCACCTCTGGGTGGTCCCAGAGTGGGGTGGGAATGGAGATTTTGCAGTATCTTTCCCCTGCCACAGCCACCAAGCCACGCCCACCAAATCACTCCATGCCCACCGAGCCACACCCACAGAACCGGTAGTAAAAAAAATTGATTTTCATCACTGGGATGAACCCCATGTTTTCCCCACCTGTATCGTGTGATCCTATTCATTTCCTTCCCTTTGAACTTCATCAAGGCCAGATCTAGATATACCATATTTTTTGGCGTATAAGTCACATCAGAGTATAAGGCACACCAAGGTTTTGAAGAGGCAAATTAAAAAAAAGTTTTTTTTTTCTGCAGACCTCCCCAAAATGGCCTGTTTTTCACACAAAAAAGGGCATGAATAGCCTTTAGGAGGCTTGTAGAGTGCTTTGGGGGGGGGTGTTTAAAAACAAGCAAAAAGTGTCCTGTTTTTCGCTCATTTCTGCCCTCCCCAGCCCCCAGGAGCAATCTGCAAGGTTCCTAAAGGCTCTGCATAGCCATTTTGGTGAAGGGGGCAGGGTTTCGGGAGGCAAAAAATGCTGTATTCCGTGTATAAGACGCACCCAGATTTTCAGGCTCTTTTTTTTTGAGGAAAAAGGGTGCATCTTATACTTCGAAAAATACAGTATCCCCTCTAAATCCCAGGGAAGTGATTTAGGGAAAGGAAATAAATAACCCGAACAATTGACATACGTACTCCCAAAACTCGATAACTGGAGAGGTGGCGTTAGTATTATTCCCAGAGTCGGAGACATTCAGAACCTCCACACAATACTCTGCCAGGAGAAAGAGAGACACATGTAAGAGTAGGAAGAGATCTTGAATATCAAATGATCCAACCCCATAACCGTACAAATCTCCAAGGCGTTTAAAACATCCATTCAGGAGCCAAACTGTCTAGTGTGACACAACAACCAAATATAGGACTGGTACAGACTCCAACCGATAGTTCAGACTGCAGAAAAAACAACTGCAACCAACCTGGTTTCTATAGAAAACCTGTATAGTGTGTGGGCCAGAAGGAGGGCTGAGAAGATATCTGCAGGGCGCTCACATCCTGAGAATAAACTGTTTCAATTCCTTCCCTCAGAAAGTACTATAGGGGATTGCAAGCCAAAACAACTAAACACAGGGACGGTGTGTTTTTCTCCTCATGCCATCCCTCTTAAGGTAAAAGTTCCCCGCACTTGTGTGCTAGTAGTCATTTCGGGCTCTAGGGGGCGGTGCTCATCTCCGTTTCTAAGCTGAAGAGCCAGCGCTGTCCGAAGACAGGTGGTCAGGTGGCCGGCATGACTAAATGGCAAAGGCTCACAGAGCGCTGTTACCTTCCCACCAAAGTGGTCCCTATTTTTCTACTTGCATTTTTTACGTGATTTCGAACTGCTAAGTTGGCAGAAGCCGGAACAAGTAACGGGAGCTCACTCCATTACGCGGCACTAGGGATTCAAACCGCTGAACTGCCTGAACCTCTGATTGACAAGCTCAGCATCTTAGCCACTGAGCTACTCTTACTGAACACCTAATTCTCTCAGTGCTGCTTAATGTTTATTAACCCATATACTGTGGCTGTAACATTATTACTTATCCTTATTATCTTCTTTACTCCCCCTTTTATTGGCCACATTATTCTTATTCTGTTGCTTTGCATAGACCTGTGATGGTCTAAGCCGGTGCTAAATTCTAAAGATTTCCAGAGCCTCCGGAGTCCACCAACAATATCAGCAAAGCCTCCTGGAAGGGCTTGGTCCCAGGAATTCTGTAAGGGCCAGCATTTCGTCGGCAGCTGCCTGTGGCTGTCCCTTGGAGCAGCGGAACCACGGCGGCTCGGATCAGCGATTTACGGCGTGAGAAGAAGATGGCGGCGCCACGCTGCCGATCTCAGCGTTTTGCAACTTTGTAACTTCTCGCCGCTCCCTCTTTCTCTCTGCCGGCTTTGACGGACTCGGAGTGGTGTGGTGAGCTCGGGGGGCTCAGTTCTTTGTCATCTGAACAGCGGGGGTTATTAGAACTGCCGGAAATCATTTGGGAGCTGTGGGTTGGGCGGCTGGCTGTATTTGCCACCGCTGTAGCCCCCCCCCCTCCGGACTTCCCCCCCCCCGTCCTACTCTGTCCGTCCTACGCTGTTGTTCTATTGCCAGCTGCCTGCTTATCCTGTGGTCCTG